ATGTTGTTTCAATCATTCTGTGCTATCTGGGAACTAAAGGGTTTCTCTCCCATCCTGATTCCCACATGTTTGTTTGAATTTGACTTTGAAGAAAATCTTTTTCCACAAGCATCAAAACCAAAAGGTTTGTCACCACTGTGAATGTTTCCGTCTTTGTCTAAATGTAATTTTTGATGACTGTCTTCAGTTGCAGAGTCTGACAAGTTTTTAAGCTGGGATTCATGATTTATGACATCTTCATCCTCCTTTTTATTCTCTTCAGTCTCTGAATGGCTCAAAGTTCCTCCAGGTGTATTTATATCTGGGTTTATTTAAACCTGCCATCCGTCTCCTCCTTCACTCTGAGCTGCTCTTCTTCCTCACTCACACAGAGTTCCTCCTCTTCCTCCTTTATCTGGAGGAGCAGCGCCTCCTGCTGGTCAACATCACGATCTTTTTTAACATCTGCAGAACAAAAACATTACAGGCTTTATGGTTCTCAAGTGGCAAAGATTCAAATGAGTGAAAAAGATCTAATCAGCAGTTCAGGTTTATAATCTCATATTAAACCTCGATTTATTTATAGTTAGAGGAAAACAAACAAACAAACAAACAAAAGAAAACTAAAATGGGACTTGGGGGGACAAAATAAACTGCAGCTTCAGTTGATTAAGAAACCATGAGATTCTTGCGACAGAATTGAGAAGAAAGAAAAATCTAAATATATTAGAGAAAAAAATGTGAGACTATATGAAGTGCAAAAGACAATTTTAATGAATAAACATCAAATCTGAAGCTGAACACCGTTTATATTGATATTTTTAAGGAATAAAACGTGTTTATCATAGAAAACATGATCACTTATCTATTTATCACGTTCCTTATTCTACACACATGAATGACATAATGCCGATAACCTGGTTTTCTGTTGACTCGCATGGATATAAACAATATTTGATCAGGTTTTATTACCTGAAACATTCTATCCCATAATACAATATAACACCACACTAATACTATTTGCTGTATATTAGTGGTTCATATGGGTTTAACCCGTATGAAGCACGTGATTACTCTTACTACCGGGATATACTTGAGGCTGACTGTGTGACGTCATCTCGGCTGTCATGTGACTTCAGTGAAAGACATGCAGTCAGACCTTTCTATTTCATTCGTGCTAAGCAATTAATAGAGAAGTCAAAACTTAATATCTAGAAGGGGGAAATATAAACCGCTAAACAGGATGAATTCTTTAAATAGGCCATATTTTCCCATTTATTTTAAATAGTCTTACTTTTTCTGACTTTTAGTTTGATCCCTGAACGTCTCTTGAATTTTATTTTCACTTTCCTCATTGTGACGCAGTTCAGATTTGCCGCATAAGCCTCAATCTGTGGTAAGAAACTCAACATTTCTTTCTTTGTGATGGTTTAGATCGTTTTAAGGCTCATTCCGTTCAGAATCAGCAGAAACTTCCGCTCCATAGTTCCCAGTAACTCCCAGCCGAAACCGGGAGGGACGGATGAAAATCTACCTGCAGAAAACACGGGCGGCCTGGAGCTGGAAAACATTCATAGGAGGCCATAAATATTTATATTAAATACTAATAATGTTGAGGGGAAAATAGTGTGACATTCATCATTGATGAGAATTTTTACATTTCATTGAGAAATGTCACTGGACTAACAATAAACTTAACTTCACTCAGAGTTAGTTACATTTTCTTGAGTAACTTTTTTCTAAAAATACATTTTCATAAGTACTTTTTACTTTGGCTTGAGTATTTCTACTCTTACTTTAGTAAATGTCTGAATTCTCTACCCACTAAATGAGAATCAAACATATTTTAACTAAAATTCACCTTTTGTCAAAGTTTCATAATTTTCTTTTATTGAAAGAAACTGATTTGGAAAAATGTTCTTTTACCTGATTTTGTTATTTTTTGTTACTTATATGAATTATTGTAATTTTTGTCCTTAAAATGCCCAAATTTTCACTTAACTTTATGTTTTTGTGCATCTGATGATGTAATTTTTCACTATTAAATGATTGATAATTTGATCAGTCACTAAGTACTTGAGCAAACCTTTTACCAAATACTTTTACTTATGGAAAAATATGTTGAGTAACTTTTGGTCCCCTGCCACTTCTGACTTTAATCAACACAAATCATGAAATAATTAGGAATTAATAATAATATCATAATTTTTCATGTTCTACCTTTAATGTTTACCACCGCAAACTTAAATTATCTTACTGGGATCATAGTTCCCATAACTTTAAAGTAGAAGAAACATACATATTAATCTGAAAAGTGTGGCATGCTTTTGTACTCCTCTGGTTTCAGGCTTTTTGGATTTTGTCTCCAAACATAAGATAAAACTTTTCAGCTCTGATAAATCTGCCTTCAGATGTCACATTAAAACTCATAAGATATGTTTTAATTTATGGTTTCATTTTAGTTCTGAATCAATAAGTTTAATGTTTTTATTCTTGAACGGTTTAACTCACAGGTCATGTGGACAAGTGTCTCCTGCCATTTTTATCTAAATGTCTCAGATTCCTGAAAACACAAAATGATCAGTTATTTTCCACTCTATTCATTGATTAATCAAATCATTTACAGCATTAATCATTTCAAGATTTGATTCCAACTTAAGTTGGAAAATAAATATAAATTCATTAAAACATGAATATAAAATTATTAAATAAAGTCAATATTTCAAACCTATTTGTGTTTCCGTTTTAGGTGAGTGGAGCGAGCGCCACCTAGTGGGAGCATGGATCAGTGCGAGGACAGAGAGGACACAGTCCTTCCCTCCAAAATGTCTCTCATTAGGGGACATGAGGACCAGAGGTGAGGTCATGACCTTTACCTGTCCAGGAAATTTCAAAGTTCAGCAGTAGAATCACCAAACTGACTCCATCCACAGGAAGCTATCAGAACCAGAACCAGAACCAGAACCGAGATCCAGCTGTGTTTCCTTCAGCAGTAACAACTCAAAGAGGTGAGCTGGATCTAAGTTTTATTTTTTTTTTACAAACTTGGCCTTTTATCACCCGACAAAATATTTTTCCTCTGAAATTTGACGATTTTATTCAAACATATTAATGTCATTATTGGAAAGCAATCCAGTTTTGCTGCTTGTAACCACGGATCCCACGCTTTTTATCACCAATCTATTTCTGATTGACCTTTTATTATTTTGCAGGAATCACACAGCTGAGCCCAGCTGTGTGTCATGGAAGAGCAACCAGTCCAAGGACATTATTATTCTGTTTAAATCAGACCAGCCTCCAGCAGCAAAGAGGTGAGCTGGCTCTAAAGGTTCTGCTCAATGTTCTGCTATATATATATATATATATATATATATATATATATATATATATAAAATTCCCCTCTCATCCTCCGCGGGTGGTCTCTCTCGTTTTTCATCCTCTGAGCT